AACCTTCCACCCTAGTCACACAAGCTCATGTAAAATTCTGAAATGCCCAGTGCCAGTCCATCATCCTTGTCTGGGTAATATTTCCCTGCCTTGAGTGTCTGGAATGCCATCCATGTGTCTCTAATAACCTAAATCCCACTTTTCTTAGGCCAGTCCTACATCTCCAAAGGGGTTTCTGGATCATCCCCTGTCAGCAATTTTTCTAATTTTTCTTTCTTCATCTCCTGCAGTGTTCCTTTCTTCCATTCAGCCTGCGCTATCTCAGACTTTTCTCTGTTCAGGTGTGTATTCAATCTCTCTCACTTAGATAATAGGCTATTTAAGAGGAGGATCGAGTTTGATGCTGCTTTTTATCCTCTGCATCTAATATTATATAATATATTGCTTCTAGCATTTGCTTAGTGGGTATGTTTTGACGATAACTCACAGCGGGTAATAATACCTATAGGCACTTGGCTCTCACCTTCATTAATGGAAGTCTAAGTTAAATAGCCTGTCTTTGAAAATGTTTCTCCAGAGTAGCGCTTTTAAGTTAGGAGAACAAGTCACCATGACTTTAATTACAAGCATTACTTTTTTCTGCAATTGCCATTAGGCCTACAGCTAGCTTCTTTGCCTGCCTTTCATTAAATTATGTTGGCATTTAGATTAGGGGAATATCAACAAGTACGGAGCTTTAAGCAGTAGCGCTGCAGCCCGTCCCCCAACTCTTCAGCAAAGATACGTAAGAATCACATTCTAAAGAAACTTACACCACGAGACAAAGCAAATGGTGCCGCTTCCCTTTGAAATCCCCTGTAGGTCCCTTAGCATGTTGTTCGTGGCCCCGTGTAGTGCAGCCCGCTCCACCTGTTTGTCCTTGTCTCTATCACCCCCCACCCCCCACCCCCCACATCCTGGCTGAGGTCTCAGCCTTGCAGTTCCCTGGACTGTCAAACGTTTCCCTCCTCCTGCTGCCTGCCAGCAGCAGGCTCTGCCTGGATGGTCTTCCCTGCTTCTTTCCTACCAATGCCTGTCATCCTTTGAGCATCAGTCTGCTTGTCATTTCCTGAATAGAGTTCTTCTCTGATCTCCCAGAATAGGTTAAGCTTCCTTGTTCCGCGCTTTCAAATTCCTTGTCATGATGGCAGTTATATATTAACTATGAATTCATTTGTGTCTGTGTCACCCATTAGGCTATAAGCTCTAAGACTGTGCAAATCTTATGCACTATAATATTTCACTGCCTGGCATAAAGCCCAATGCACCATAGAGGCTTGAATACATAAATGAATGAGCCTTTCATGAAGGACTATCCTGAAAGACTTTCAGAGAAAAAACAATTCTAATATTATTCACATCCAGAACTTAATTCTCCTTCTTGCTCCTGCCCTAGATGGACGGGGGTAGCTGCCTCTGAGTCACGTAATTCACATGAAACACGCACACATGTTTTATAAAGTAACTTCCACTCTTATGAAAACAAAGCAACACAACCAAGCATTGTGCAATGCAAATCTTCACTTGTTCCCAGACAGCTTGTTATTAGGCACAAGATGAAAATTCAAAAACTACCTGTTTTCATTTAAAATTATCTCATTTATGCCTACTAGCATGGCTTTTCTTATAATTCTCTTTAAAACTTGTTTTGAAAATGTATGCATTTGGGTAAAAAGTGCAAGAAAGCATTCTCATAGCCATGAAGTGTCCATGTGTTGAAAGCTTTTAGTATTATGTATAAGATTATTAGTAAATTTAAAGTGGTCCCCTTTCTTGAAAGTGCCAGCAACCCCACTGATATGTCCATGACCTGTTTCGATGTCCTTTTGGTCTTGAATTACCCTGCTGAGTCAGACAACTGGAGAACATATTAACGCCAACTGCAGAGTTTTTTCTGATATAAAAAAGTCTGACCTTAAAGAACCTGAGTCTTGAATTTTCTGTCAGAGTGCTAGCCACACACCCAATTTCCACCAGAGGTTTCACATTCCCTCACTCTGATGTTTCCACTAGTATAGTCTTCACTAGAACAGGTACAAGATTCAACTGGCTAGTCACTCCCTTTACGAGGATAAACCATTTTTCAATTAAAAGGAAGGGAAGGAGAAATCTAATTCTATTCTACAAAAGATCACAAAGCCATGGAGACTTCTGTATTATTCTTCTCACACTCACCTCTTCTCCTTTGATCACCATATAGCCCATAAGAAAAACAGCAGTGTAAACAAATGGTAACTGTTGAGGGTGGATATTGAACACATGCCTAATTCACAGAGAGAAGAAACATCAAGCCTTTCTTTATAGTGGGACTGACCTGCATATTTCTAAATTATCAGACCCGTCATCCCAAGTGGCAGGAGGCTTCTGAACGGGGCTGTTCACCCGGAGCCCTGCATCTTCCACAGACTTGCTGTCTTCTTGAATTGGCAGTATTTCAGTGCTGGAATCTGTTTCTGAAAATCTCTTTTTTGTGATTTCATTCTGCCTAAGACTTTGCAAGAGCTGAGAATCTGTGTGGTGGTATCTTCCTTTGCTGCTCTCATGGTTTCTGGAGGATCTCTTAATGTCATAGGACCCTCCAGGCAGGGAATGGCTGCATTCTTGGTACCTGGTGCCTTTTCCTCTGCAGAGATTTAAAGAGCAACTCTCACAGTCAGTTGGCTCTTGCTGCTTTTTACCTTTGGATCCCAAATCCACCAGGTCAATTCCATTAGGAGTAGAAGACCCATCTAAGTTTTCACATGGTCTGTTATTATTTCTCCTCCTCCTTCTCGACAGTCTGAATTTAACCTGGGCTCTTCTTTTTGCCTGAGTCCAATGACCCTCATCTGCAGAAGATGAATCTGAAGAATCTGCATAAAGCTCCCTCCATCTGGGGCTTGAGATTTGGAGGTGAAAATCACTTCTTCTCCCTTTTGTTTGTTCTTCTGTGTGCTCATATCTCTCAGAGCCCCTTCTCCTCCTCCTAGGTCTCTGTTTTACTGGTTTCTTACCAGACTCCTTCCTAGCAGGGTTCAGCACCATGACAGGGGTGCAGTACTCAAATGCCTCTTCTGACATGTCATGCAAGATGGCAGATCTAGACAAAGCAGCAGGCAAAGGATGGGAAGGAAATGGGAATGGACAGGATGGCCGCGGAGAAACAGAGAGAAAGAGAAAATGGTGAAAATGATAGCATGGACCAGAAGTTGATAAACAAAGGTCAGTGGAAGAAAATGAACTAAATGAAAAAATAACTAAGCCAGGATAACTGTCCACAGAAAATGTAAGGCAGAAGCAAGAGCCAGACAATCCCAGAATAAAAAGCAAGAATACAAAACACCGACTGTAACAATATTGAATAAGATCATTTGCTCAGCACTCACCTGCAGATGTCCTGAGTGGATGGACAGACAGACAACCTTGATTGACTCCTGGGAGCTGTCCCTGTGGTTGGGCTGCTTGCCTGGAGAAACAAGTTAGATAATTTGGCATCTTGGTTAAGATAATACATGGTTGATATCCTGCTTTTTTTCCACATATTTAAAAAATTACAACAAACGTGGCTGTCGGTCATGTTGCTCATAACGCAGTGCACAGAATATAGGAAGTTAGAGGGTTCGTGTTGCAAAAGTAAAACTTATTTGAGGAACTTGGGACAGCTGAGGTGCTGTACTATTTTGCTGTTACTTCATTTATGAGAGAGGAAGATGATTCCACAAGTTTCTATTCTACTTACTGTAATCATTTGAGTGGACTAGCTCAATTTACTTGGGAAACAAGGGAGTGACATTTGACACCCCTTTGGTGTAAGGGACTAAAGTACTATTACTTGACAAAGATGATAATAATCTGGGAAGCATCAATAATCAAATAGCCACTAGATTGCTAAAGAGTGCCTGGAGCTAACACCAAGGCAGATACTGTATTTTAAAACACGGTTTAATATTGAAAGGCCTACAACTATCCTGCTATTATTATGTTATAGAAATTAATAAAACCTATTCATTGCTACACTACTGACCCTTTATATCTTTTAACCCTGTGACCATGATGAGACTGAGAATAATAAAGCCTGAAATAATTCAGATATTAGCACAAAGTTGAGTACATTTCAACAAATTTCCTCCTTTGAAACCCATTTTATTCACTCTCTTTGACTTTCATTTTTGTGTTTAACATAGAGGATGATGGATAAATCAAAAGCTAAAACGTAAGGATTACTTACTGTGCACCAAGACTTAGGCTATGACTTTATCTACTCTGTCCTTAATTTTTACAATGATCTCAAAAGTGGGAAATTGTAACTAACAGTCTTGAGTGACTATTACAGGCTAGTTACTGATCTGAGCCATTTTCATATATTTATTTATTAATAAATTAAATGTATGTGGTAGGTACTGTAATTATTTCTATGCTGCAGTTGAAGGAACTGAGAAATTGAGGCTGCTTCTCGCTAATAGGGGTAGAGCAGAGGTTTGGACCAGGAATCTGGCTTTACCACCTGTTCTCTAACCCACCAGGAACACAGCTTCTCCTCCTTTAACATAGGAGAAGACAAGGAAGTCCTAAGTCTAGATTCAGGCCACAGGTCAGGATGTATTACACATGAAATATACAATTTTGCCACCAAGAAAATAACAGTTAACATAGAAAGACTAGCCCAAACTTCAGTCATTCTAAAAAATTCACATATTTGAGATACATACTAATGATTGTGGGATCCAAAGAAAGAGAAACTAATTATAACTCAGGATGTCAGCAAACATGTGAAGGGAAGGGAAGGTATAACAGGCTGAATGACAGTACCCGAAGATATCCACATCTTAATCTTTGGAAACTGTGAATATGTTTTCTTACACGGCATAGGGACTATACATGTAGAAGTGACTAAGTTCATGATTTTGAGATGGGGAGATTATCCTGAATTATCCTGGTAGGCCCAATGTTATCATGAATATCCTTATAAGAAGGAGATGGTAAAGTTAGGATCCAGGAGAGAAGAAGAAGAATAGAGATAAGAAAGGAGAGAAGATACTGCACTGGTGGCTTTGAAGGCAAAAACAGGAGTCTTGAGCCAAAGAATGCAGGTGGCCTGTGGAAACCAGAAATATCTAGAAAATGGGCTCTCACCGAGGGCCTCCAGAAGAAATGTCATCTTGCTGAGGACATCTTTGTTTTAACCCAGCGGTAATAAATCTCTGTTGTTTTAAGTCAACAGATTTGTGGTTAACCTGTTACACCAATCATAGAAAATCGAAGGACATATTTTAGCTAACACTGAAAGGCAATAGGAGTTACTAAATAAGATATAAGAATATTGTGGGCAGAGGAAACAACGAGAGAGAAGTATGGCACTCTCCACATGCTCCTAGAGTAGACTAATCGATACATGCACACTTCTGATTTATAATTTTCTTAGTCGTTTTATTATCAGCCCATAAATAGTATGCATTTTAAATTTTTGTACAATGTCTTTGATTCCCAGTCCATTTTTAATATTCTCCTTCAACATCTGTGTCTAAATTTACTTCTTGAAAAAGATAGAGAGGAGGGACTCAAAGTAGCTGGATTGGCTCACAGCCAAGAGGGATTCCTTATTGCAAAGAAAAGGTAAGTGGGAGATTCCCAGCAAACCACATTCCTACCACGGATGCCTGCATCCTGGTTAGAGGAGAGCCCCTCAGTCTTCACAGGCCCTGAGCCTTGTTTAGGAAGCTTTCTGGAATCCATGTGACTGCACTGTCCCAAAGAAGAAATCCACACTGTGTCTTCCCCACCCAAGCTTCTGGGACCCAGGCTGTTGTAATACTGGACCATTTCCAAAAGAGAGCCACCACCAGCAGATATCCTGATCTGTGGCCCAATAGCCCTTGCATGTTCTCATCTCTGGGGCTTTACTGACTTTTTCCCACATCCACCCAGAGACTGCAGCCTCATAACACCAGCTAAACCCAGCAGTGTAGCTGCATTACTGTCACATGAGCCCTCATAGCTCTTACACCCTGCAAGCGAATCATGGAGGCTTCCTCAGGATGTAGGAAACCAAAGTATGTGATTTTCAGAACCTGAGAGTCACCTACTTGGGGCCACCACCAGTGTAGCCATCTTGCCCCCTCCAGTGGCAAGCTCACTTTTTGTCCCCATGCATGTTACCTGAGGACTGGCTTGTTTGG